CTTTACTAAAGGAGATCCGTATAGGAATTTTTATTATGATTTTTTATAGGTGCCCACCTATACTAAAGATCAACCAACTGTTTAAACAATACATTAATGTTTTTTTTTTAACTACTCTATCTAGTCTAGTTTAAATCTACTATATTTTCTTTTTTTTTCTAAGGTGGATTAGATATATTATTAAAATAGAGTTAAATACAGAGCTTCTTTATCTTGTAATATGTAATTTTTATTAGCTTGACACAGACTTATAATTGTGACTATCAGATTTTTTTTTCTTTCGTTCTTACCCTTTCCCCTTTTTTAGTATTAGTATTAGAGTTAATATTTTTTCTTTTTTTCACTTCCCTACGAGAAGATATCATCAAATTGACAATATTCTATTATAGGGTGGTGGTCTGATATGGCTTTCTAGAATCTGTCTAGTGTGGCAGATCACTTGAAAATGCTCTTAGAAGTAACTATAGGATGTCAGGTCTAAATATTAAGCTTAAAGTATCTTGTTATGCCTGTAACAAGACAACTTAATAAAAGATTACTGGCAAAACTGCCAAAGTTGAAAAAAAAAAAAAAAAATTTATTAATTTTGGTTTAGTAGTTATCAAAATATCTTTGCTTAAAGATCAAAAAAATTTTTTAAAAAATAAATTATATTAAATTTTCTCAAATTTGAGTGAAGATATCTTGACAATCACAAAGCCAAATTCAATAAACTTTTTTTTTTTTAAATTATACACATTTATAGAATTTAAAATTTTGATTTAAATTTGAAATGTATCAAAATAAACTGCACTAAATTTTCTTAAATTTGAATGAAGATATTTCAACAACTACTAAGTCAAATTCAATGAACTTTTTTTATTTGAATTCTACAGATTTGTAGTATTCAAATAAAAAAAAATTTTATCAAATTTGGCTTCATAGTTGTTAAGATATCTTTGCTCAAAGTTTTAAAAAATTCAAAACATCATCAGGCTGCAGCAAATTTTGGGCAAAGATATCCCGACTGTAACCGATAAACTTTTTTGTATTTTCTACAGATTCGTAGAATTCAAATAAAAAAAATTTGATCGGTTTGCTGTCTAGATATCTTCGCTCAAAGTTTAAAGAAAAAGATTTGACGCAGCTTGTTTAATTTTTCTACAATGGGCGAAAATATCTTAACCAACCGACCAAATTCAATGAAATTTTTTTTACTAGAATTATACAGATTCATAGAATTCAAATAAAAATTTTATTGAATTTTGCCAGGTGGTTGTCTCAAAATTTTAAAATTTTTTACAAACTTGTGCGAAATATCTCGACAACCAACCGATTCTATAGGTTCATAAAATTCAATAAAAAAATTTTTCATTGAATTGGTCGGTTGGTTGTCGAGATATCTTTAAAATTTTTTTTTCTTACTCAAAAATTGTGAATGTGATTGTCATCATTACATGTGATCTGATAATTTTTTCGCCATGGCTAGGGTACTAGCGAGATTGGTAATGCGCAACGAAAATTAATTTTGCACGCCTTATTCATTTAATCGGTTTTAAGATTATAATAAATATGCGAACAAGTTGAGTCGATAATATCTCCAGCCATATTTATCATTTCATAAATTTTATCTTCAACGTTATGAGATCAAGGCTAGGAAAACCAAGCACAAATTTATATACGATAATAAGGCATTATTGTGTGAAGATTCAATGCTTCAGTTCCAAAATAGGTATAATACTCAATTGCGTATATTCGTTTATCAAATCAAATGTATAATATAAACATATATTTATAAATCCAGATTAGGATGTTCAGATATCTGACTAGATATCCAGATCTAAGAACTACCTTACAAGGAAATACATAAAGACAACCTGTAGAGCTGCCACGAGAAAAAGAAAATGGATTCTTTTTCTTTTTTGACGATGTTGAATATTGGCAGTAGCATTAGCATCAGGAAACACGACTTGTCGGAGCGATCGCAGCTAGTGAGATATATTCAGATTTGTTAACTTGAATTAAAAATTTATGCCAAATTCGTTGATTAAAAGTCTGAACTGCATCCATACCAAGAAGAATCCATTAGCGAAAGCAGTGTAAATAAATGTGCTAGCAACAATCCAAAATGGTGCTATCAAAGAAACGGCCAAAGTGACAATGACACTGATGCGGCGTCATTAACAGATAGAAGACAATATTAATTTAATGTATTAAAAGTGCGAATAAAGATCTAAAAGAGATATAAGAATTACCCAACAAATTTATATCCAGAATATGCCAGTAAATTTAATACATTAGTGTCCGACGTAATATTCAACAAATAACATCCCGCTTTAATGAATACCAATTCTAGCAACACAAGGAAAAACGCAGAAGTTGCATTAACTCCTAAAATCTCTGGATGAAATCTATAAAAGATAAACAGTTGGAAGATGTTAGATACCTTGTTCAATAATAATAGCGCGTTCTCTAGATAACTTACTTGTTGCCTTGAGTTCCAGAGACTATTCCTGTGAGTAACACATATGTTACAAGAGCCATCGCTATGAAAAAGATAAATTTACAGAATTAATATCAATAATTTCGTGGTATTGAATATATGCACGATATGATATACCTGGTATATATAGATCTGGTGAATTTATATCATCTCTGGGTGGTTTAAATCCTTCCAATTGACCATTTTGTTCAGATCGTATTACAATGCGAGTCCATCGCTACATAAAAATGTTAATTTTTATTATCAATCAAGCAGAAAACATATAATCAAGATACTTACTTTATGCCTCCACGGAAATAATAACAGTCGGATTTTATTTGCCACGTATGAGTTGTTTACTTTGAAATAATATTTAAGAGCAGGAATATCGACATATCGGTTGATCTGGAATAAAGTTTTCAAAGAAAATTATATAAAACTTAAATAAAATTTAACAATGAGAATAATATTTAGACCAACATTTTTCTCCATATATTCTGTTCCAGCAGACAGCGCTGTACGTCCAAATTCCATTCCCATTTGTGTCGTAGCGTCATTTAGATGCCATATATTTCCGTTATACATATGTTGCTGATTTGCATTATGCAAATGTTGTTGTGTTGGTGGCGAAGGTGAAGAAGTTGGCGGATCACGCATTTGAATCGGTGGGTGAGTTGGAATTGGATGTTGCAACGGAGGTGGTGATACAGATTGCTGTTGTGGCTGATAGCGATTAGAATAAGTGGGTTGGTTCCGGTTATACATTTTTTGAAAATATAAAATGGATAAGATAGCAGTCGAAACGAAGTTTTTGATAATCCTCAATTTCAATTCTACTTTTTTGAATATGATTGGTGGACTATACAATTGTGTTACGACGCCAATCACGTAAATACATAAATAATCTTTATTACTAGTCACTTTATTCTGTATGTCGAGTACTCCAGCAAGCTTCAGCTATCTTACCGCGTACGGTACGTCAAGAACTGGGCTTCCTCCTAGCCCACCAGATCTCAGTAAGTTTCGTTACAGTAATTGATCATACTTTAGGATGTGATTTGAGTCTGATTTTCGTGAGCTCTTTGCTTTTACCAGATTCCGCGCTTGATGAGGTAATTCGCACATACATTTTGTCGTTGTTCTGAACTAGCTTGTGACTGATTCAAATGTTCCTTTCTTTCAAAGGAAGTCCGGTTACACACTAATAATAAGGATCGAGAAAAATATGAAAATTTAGCAGATGTATATGCCATCATTGTGACAATGGAACATTTGGAAAAGGCGTATGTTAGGGATTCAGTTACTGCCGCTGAGTTGAGTGACATTCTTTACTAATCTTATTTTATCCCAATAAGTGTTATCATTTACATTATGATCAACGCATTTTAGGTATACACCTTCATGCGCCAAATTAATAGCTCAATATAAAACTGCAATGAATTTGGTATCCGATCTAATCCCTGATGTGGAACAATTTATGAAGGAATATAAGGTTTTAATATATTCCCGTAAACTAAACGTGTTTAAAAAAAAAATTGTCACTAAACTTTCTGCTATTATCATTATTAGTTAAAATGTCCGGCCGCAGTTAATAGGTTTAAAATCGGTGTACCTGCAACCATTGAACATTCTATAGATCCTATCAAATCTGCAAAATACGTGGCAGAAACTGTTTCTGTATGTCTTCAAATCTTCATACATATTCGAATAATTTATGTTAATAATTTTTGTTTTCCTTTTAATTATAGCATTTTATCACATTAATGGATGCACTTAAACTGAATATGAAGGCCGTAGATGAAATTCATCCAATGCTTAGTGATTTAATGCAAAGCTTAAACAACGTGAGCTCACTACCCGCAGAGCATGAAGCTAAAATAAGGAATTGGTTAATCACACTAAACAGTATGAAGGCCATTGACGAAATAAATGAAGAGCAAGTACGACAACTACTATTCGATCTCGAAAACGCTCATAATGCGTTTTATCGCTCATTATCAGATAAGAGTTGATAATAGTGCAAACAACCTGAGAAGTTTAAAAAACTTTCGTTCTATATCCTTATAGTTAACTATTCCTTAAAGCGTTTTGCAGGCAAATTTGCCTGCAATTTTAAAAAATTTTTTAAATAAATTAAAAATTTACTAACGATATAAAATATGCTTTTTTATAAAATATGTTTTTTTTAAGAGAATTTCTATTTGTACCCGGTGGGTATGATACCCGGTATAAGAAAAAAATCAAAAATCGTTAATATCTCAAAATTTTACTAAGAAAACCATATGTAGGTATCTTAAGTAAAATTGCTCAGCGTCTAATTTTACATATAACCACACATGTCTTGAAATCTAACCCTAACCTTAATATATATAGGGCACTATATAAACATTATACCGGGTATCATACCCTTCGGGTACAAATTAGAGCTGCAGGTGAAACTAAATCACACTGGTGAAACTGGTGACTATCTAAAATCTGATTGGCTATTGCATTCAATAACCAATCAGATTTTAGATAGTCACCAGTTTTATCAAGTTTTACCAAGTTTCACCAGTTTCACCAGCAACTTTAGTACAAATATTGGGCGTTAATTTATGGCGACCTATATGAATAGCTAATCAAAATTGAGCATGTGATTATAATATATTGCTTATTATTGCTCAATAAAAATTTTTAAAAAAATACAAAAGAAAATTTTCAAACCCTATATATAATTGGCTGCTATATGTAGGGTTGCTATTGTGATGAGTTTTTATTGTTTTTTTTGTCTATTTTATTATCTTTATTATCCTTTATCTGTAGGTTTTTTTTTTTTTTTTTTTTTTTTTTTTTTTTTTTTTTTTTTTTTGGTTTTTTTTTTTTTTTTTTTTTTTTTTTTTTTTTTTTTTTTTTTTTTTTTTTTTTTTTTTTTTTTTTTTTTTTTTTTTAAGGTGAGGTCATGCCTCGTGTCTTTATTAATATATATGTGTATATACAAATTTTATTCAAATTATTCTATATATTTTGATATCATAACTATACAAGACTTAGACTGCTTTATCTACAACCTAAATCTACTAGAGCCTTAATATCCAACCTAGATTTTGTATACTACTCCTGCTAATCAATTTCTTATTTATAGGTCTCTATAGATAATCTATTTTCTTAATCTGATATTGTACTACATGCCAGAGGTGCTTCCAATTCCAGTTGGACCAATCCTTTACCACAGATCATTCTTGTATTTACCACTTTTCTCAACACTCTGGTTTTATTACTGTTATATTACTCTCTTAAGCAAGTTCCCCAACTGCTGGAGATGTTAGTACTGCCCTGGTCACCCCTAAACGAGGACTTATATATATGATTTTCGTATAACAGAACTATCTATAGAGGACATGCATATTGGCACCACTTCACAATTAGACCTCCTTTTTGAGAATTTTCTTTTCTAGTTTTGTACTTGCATTTGGACTTAGCTACAAGGCTTCGCATTCAATAGTGGTGCCTTCTTTTGGATTACAGAAGCAGGAAATCCTAGGATTCTTTGCTTTCAGCCTAACTTGAACCATCAACCTTGTTTGTGAGAGTTTGGCAGCTTAACTGCTAAACTATAGGGCCCAAACCCTATAAGTATATTTTAATATTAATCCAACTTATCTTATATTCAATAAATATTTTTTATAAGTACTAATATAGTGTTTTAATAAACATTGTAATATAGGTGGGATCTTGTCTATAACTTTATTTATTATTTATACTTTTATTACATGTATTACTATATTTTTGTATTTACATATATTAAGTATACTAAGCTCAAACCTGGATTCTATTGGTAACCTACACTCTGGCTGAAACTATTACTTGTATGATAGATATCTCTATTTGCTATCTAGCTATCAATCTAATTATCTGCAATTCAAATCTATCAGAGCAGTATATCTTTATAAATAACACTCATCCAGTATTTTTCACCTTCACAAATCTTATTTTGATACACTTTTCTATGATAGCATTTCTCATATCTCTCATATCACTTATATTTAAGCTCCCAAATTTAGAAGTCTTTTCTGAGATATAACCTTGTAACCTTATAGGCTACTTCTAATCTTAATTATCTTCAGCTAGTCTACACAGATAGTATTATAAAGAAGAACTTATATTGGCTTAAGTTAAGCCTTATCATTAACATCTAGTTTAGTTAATATGCTACTGCTTCCTATTACTACATTAGGTAGATACTTTTGTGTATTAGTACAGACTCACTATGTTGTATTATAGATTATCTAATAACTTCCAGATTGCGAGTTTCATATTACTTCTCTTCTATAGTTTGAGCTATAATATTTTAATGTTCTAATATTTTAGGCTACAAGGTGCTAGGAGTCTAGACCTAGTTGCAACTTTCGATCCATAATACTTTAAATTTTAGTATTTGATATTCCTTATCAATTTCTGATATACAAGCTAATTTGTATAATTATACTACCAATCATTAAATTTTTTTTTTATTTTTTTTTATTAATTAGCTTCTTTGCTGTAGAAGTATCATCAAACATTTTCTTTTTAATGTATTAACATAATTATTATAATTAATGTATCAATAACATAACTTAGAAATTTTTTGTCTATCTCTTTGCATAATATATAATTACAAAACTATTTTGAAAACAACAATTAATTACTAGTATAGTCAGAAATATTACCAAATATAATAATGCTCCAAACTTATATCAGTTTCTGATTACTAATTATATTAAAATTCTTGTAATTTAATTCCAAATAAACAAAAATAAACCAACCAAATTAGAAAAAAAATAAAATTAATATTTAAAAAATTTATCAAAAATAAATAATTTTTTGATTAAAAATTTTTTTTAAATTGATATATTTTTATTTTATAAACAAAATTTGCCTAGAAAAACCTACAGATGGGTTTGGGCCCCGTAGCTTATTGGTTAAGCTCCCAAACCCCCACAGACAAGGTCAACGGTTCGAGTCGGGCTGGT